ATACCTGTTTTCTACTTTCAGGAATCTGCTAGAAACTCAGTGGTAGAGTGCTTAGTGTGCCTGAGGCTAAGCTCCATACCCCCACCCCAACAATATAAAAAAAAAAAAAAAAAAACTACATTTTTCTCTTGGAACACCCACAGCAAGAGGAGGAGGAGAGGTGGGAATGTGAAGAATTCTCGCAGAAATGACTTCAGTGTTTTGTTTAGCTTGGTTTGGTTTGGGATTCTTTTCTATGCACACAGTTGTGCTATTTTTTTAAAGCCTATTCCTTGGCAGAAGCCAACCTTAACTTGGTGTTCAACTAAAGATTGAGCCATTGAGGGGCTGGGGATTTAGCTCAGCGGCGAAAGCGTCTGTCTGGCAAGCGCAAGGTCGTGAGTTTGGTTCCTGGCACCTGAGAAAAACCAAAACAAAAAACAAAGATTGAGCCATTGAGGATATTTCATTTAAAAGTCCCTCTTTCTTTCTTTTTGTTTTTTGCGATGTTGGGATAGAATCCAGGACGTCACACCTGCTAAGCAAGTGCTCTACCACTGAGCATTACTTTTTAAGAGGTAACATTCCCTGATGGTTTACTGCACTCCAAGAACTGCACTATGTGCTTAGCACACAGTTAAGTCCTTTAACCCTCACCACAACCCCACGAAGTAGGCAGCAGAATTATACCCCAAGTTGTTTTTGTTTTTTGTTTTGTTTTTGTTTTCGTCTTTGAGACAGGGTCTCACTGTGGAGTTCAGGCTGGCCTTGAACTCACTATGTAGCCTAGGCTGACCTCAAACTCGCAGCGATACTCTTGCCTCAGCCTCCTGAATGCTGGGGTTACAGGTGTGTGCTATCATGCCCAGCCTACACAGAGTTTTTAGATGGAGAAACTCACCCCAACAGGCCTACTGACACTGTTTGTGGACTGCATGGCCGTGAATCATTTGTAGTTTTTTAAGTCTCACCTCACCTACCAATTCATAAATTGGCTTCCTTTTTGTCCACTTTGTTAACATACCTCAAAATTGACTATTTGTGGTGATTTGCATTCGATATCTGCTTCTGCTCAGGGTTACATGTTCTTTCTCTGGATGTCTCCATGGGTAGTTCCTTCTCAGTTCAACTCAAATGTTCATTCCTCCTTGACCACAGTGTCCTTCCCAAGAGGTGTCCTTGACCACAGTTATCTATTTAGTGACCTCAAAGCTCACCAAAATCTGCAGCGATCTGTTACCTTCCTTCAGCTACAATGCAAGCTGGAGAGGCCACGGACCATTCTAGCTTATGAAAGTCTCCCCAGTGGGAACACAGTGCCTGACACATAGTAAGTAATTAATATTTGGTGAAAAAATACAGGGTTTCCCCACACACACACACTACTGCTAATGAAACCAAGAGCCTTGTTCATGCTAGGCAAGCACTCTACTACTGAGCTATACCCCTAGCCCTTTATAAAATTTATTTTGTAGCCAGGCCTGGTAGCACACAGCTATAATCCCAGCACTTGGGAGGCTGAGGCAAGAGGATTATTAGTTCAAGGCGAGTTTGGACTACACAGTGAGTCCAAGGCCAGCCTGAACTACCTAGAAAGACCCTGTCTCAAAAAGACAAAACGAATAAATAGATAAAGAAATAAAGTTTATTTTGAGACAGTCTAGCTAAGTTGCTGTCCCAGGACTCATACTGAAGCCTCACTTCTCCCTCGGCCTAAAGGCCTGAAGGAGGAAAGAAAGAACTTCATTGACTTCCTCCTGGAAGATACTCCTGATGATCTACTGCCCTGCTTCATGGTCTTGTTCACACTTAAGAAAGCACTTTACTGTTTTTTGTCTTTTTGAGACAGGGTCTCCCGGTGCAGTTCAGGCTGGCCCTGAGCTCACTTTGTAGCCCAGGCTGGCCTTGAACTCTCAACCATCCTCGTGCCTCAGCCTCCCGAATGCTGGGATTACAGGCGTGCGCCACCATGCCTGGCTCACTGCTCATTTTTTATACTCACCATTTCAACCATCCTTCAACCTCTAATTCTCTTGACAATTCCATAAAGTTGGTACTATGATCATCACCATCCTGTGTGCATTTATTTATTTATTTCTGTTTTTTGAAACTGTCTCACTATGTAGTTCAGGCTGGCCTTAAACTCACTATGGAGGCCAGGCTGGCCTTGCGCTCACAGTGGCCTCAGGCTTCTGAGTCCTGGGATGATGAGGGTGCACCACCATGCCTGGCTTCATCCTTGCTTTTTGTAGCAGGTACCTGGGCTCAGATGGATGGAAGCTCTAGAGCCCAGGTTGTAAACTCAGCCCCACGCCATTTCCGGTTTCCAACCCTCTCTTTCACTCCAACCTCGGTGCCCCCATTGGTCACTCTCACCCCATGGAGGAGTCTCACACAAGGGGAGGGAAGGGCTGCTTTGAGGTTGTGTGGAGCACCGCCAGTGTGGACAGAGAACACACGTAGCATAGTATTAACATCCGCAAACTCTGGGACAGAAATACAAATGCAGGTTCACATGCAAATGTAAGTTCTATGCCAGACAAATTATTTAAATAAAATACACCCTCCTCCTTCCTTTAGGAATAACCTAGAAGACCAGGTTCAAAGACCAGGTTTGGGCTCCTCACCAAAACATGGCAGCATGGGGAGAAATGGCCCCGTGACCTGTGACCTGCACCCTTCTCTTTCCAACTTCAGCTTCAACCTGCACTACAGACTGCAGGCCTCATGTGTGTGTGTGTGTGTGTGTGTGTGCTGTCCACACCTCCTGTGAACAAAAGTGCCCCAGTCACCCTTCCAGCTCAAGGGCGCTCACAGGCGGCTGTGTTGTCAGCCTCTGTCGAAGTGGCCTAGAAAGAGGGCCTGATCTGTACCCATGGGTGGGGAGCTTCAGGACCCTTTGCAACCACATGGTCTGAAAGGCACCACACAGGTGCTACATGAGCACACACATTTGGTCCATGCACTCCTGCCTGTGGAGAAGAGCAGCTGGAGCAGGAGCAAAGCCCTCTAAAGCAGGGCCCATGGCAAGGGTTCCATTCCCAGGCCCAAGACAGCACCATCTGGGGGAGTGGAGGACTTCAACACAGCAGGGTGTCAAAACAAATGATGGGGCTGAGGTGTAGGTCGGTGGTAGAGCAGGTGTTCAGCATGTATGAGCCCCTGGGTTTGTTCCCTGGCACCAAAAAATAAATGAAAACAATACATTAAATAGAAAGGTAGGCACCATAGCGCTCACCTGAAGTCCTAGTTACTCTATAGATGGAGGTGGCAGGATTGGGATTAAGACCAGACTGGGCAATTTAGTGAGACTCCATCTCCAAAAAAAAAAAAAAAAAGAGAAGCCAGGTGTGGTGGTGCAGCCTCTGAGTCCAGTGCTCTTGGGAGGCTGAGATGGCAGGATCGCAAGTTCAAGCCTGGCCTGAGCAATTCAGTAATTTACCAAGACCTCCTCAAAATAAAAAGGCCTTGAAAAGCCCAAAGCTCAATCCCCAATACTGCAAATAAATAAAAAGATGATGGGGGAGGAGCCTATATAATTCTGGGCTCTTCTTACTTTATCAAATAATGACCACACCCAGTGCCTTTCAGTCCCTGGAGCAGAAAGCCCTCAATTCCAACGGTGGGCTGGCTCTGAGTGGAGGCATCTGGGTCTGTGAGGGAGAAGGCGAGGAGGCTTGGGTTTCAGTACCCACCACTGGTTCCTCTTCCCCACACGCAGTACGTAGATCACAGGGTCCTAGGGGCTCGATCTCTAAAACACATCCTGAAGCTATCGATTTCTCTCCACATGCACCGCCACCCACCCTCGTCCTGGCCTCCACTCGGCTCTCCTGGATGAGTCCAGTGGCCTCCTCACTGGCCTCCCTGTTTAACGCCCTTTCCTCCAAGATGGTTCACTCCCACACAGCAATGGGTGACCCTTTAAAAGTATAAACTTGGTAGTTATCTTGGGATGGATACACTTAAGACATGGCCCAGACACTGGCTTATGAAGGCCTGTGTCACTTGGTCCCTGCAGGCTTCTCTAACTCTATTCATTAACTGCAGCCTAGCTAGCACTTCCTTGCCTCAGACGAGGCTCACCTTCACAGAGCTGTTTTCTAGTTGAAAGGTCAAGTCCTCTCTCGGGGACTTCCATGATCATCCTTCTACCATCCAAGTCACTGCTTGTCATATTCTCCTGTTTTTATTTTTTCCTCATAGCACTTTACCAAGGTCTGAGATTCTTGTTTGGAAGAGCTCCTTCTATATAAGACGCTACGTCCTTGAATCTGCAGAGTTCGTTCAATAGTTACGAGTTACTAAACTACGCGCCAAGGTAGGTCACAACCCAGCAGCCTGTCGCAGAACCCGAGCTCCTTTCAGAAAGACCGGGTTTGGGTGAAAGCTTCAGAACACAGCCAGACGACGCGGTCGCTTGTGACGTCACGCAAACAGCGTGGTTCCGATTGGCCCTCCGAGCCTGGGCGGGGCCGGAGCATTCCTGGCCCTGCCCCACGCCGCGTCCGGCTCACACATGCGCTCTGGCCGCAGCCTCGCTGCCGCGCCATTTTGCCTGGGTTTGAATGTGAGGCGGAGCAGCGGCGGGAGAGGGTACTGCTTGCTACAGTGTGCGCTTAGGATTCCCTCTTCTGTTCCTGTATCCCCACAAGGTGAGGCGCGGGGCGTGCACAGCTTAGCAGGGTGGCTCTTGGGTCCCGGCTGAAGGAGGGTTGAAGCGCTCCCGGCACTTCCAAGCGCCAGGAAGCAAAGACCGCAACTCTAGGTTGGAGCCTTCATGTGGGCCTCTGCCACGGGCGGCGCGCACCAGCCAGGTCTTTGTCTCCGCAGAAAAAATCTGCTGCATCCCCTGGCGTCTGGGCTCGGGCCCACACAGCAGCCCCGCGGCCTGTGAGGGGTGAGGGCGGCTGAGGCGCGGCCTAACTGAGCCGCCTGAGTGCCCGCCCTTTCCCCTGCAGCGCTGCTCTGATTGGCTGTGCCGGCGCCTTGTCGCCCTGACGGCTGTCCCTCATTGGTTGCGTTCGCGCGTCAGTTCTCGGCGCGCCGGGCCCTGCAGCGTGAGCGGGGTGTGAGGCGACCGGGCCTGTCGGGTTCTGGGGTCCGTGCGGGGAGCCGGGGCCAGTGATCGCCCATCCGGTGGAGCGCCGGGCGCCTTGAACTCATCTTTATCTTCTATGCTTCCGTTTCCTTGACTGGAGTGGGCGTTGCGATCTCACTTTGCTGCGTTGTAGCAAATAATACATAATAAATTGCCCCTAATCCGGGGCTCCACCCTCTTGGGGAGTTTGGGTTTTGGAATTACGTCGCCTGGACTCCACACTTAACCTTGTCCTAGGAGTGTAGTTTAGGGCTAGTCCCTTCATCTCTGCGAACCTTCATTTTTCTCTGCAGTGATATTAAGGGACTTAGGATCCGCTGAATTATTTACTGTGATTTGCAGAGGTCTTGCCTGAGCTGACCATTGTCAGCTTCTCCCACCTCTTTCTTCTCTTACCCACGAGCTGTACTGACCCGGCCTTTTTCTTTTAGTTTTTTGAGACAGGGTTTCCCAGTGTAGTCCGGGCTGGCCTTAAACTCAGTGTGTAGACTAGGCTGGCTTAGAACTTGCGGCAATCTTCCTGCCTCAGCCTCCCAAGCACGGGGATTATAGGTGTGCACCACCACACCTGGTCACCCTAGTTTTATTTACTTTGTAGCATTCACCTCATCCCACAATTGCTTGTCTTTTCTGGACTGCTAGGGTATAAGCATTTTGTGTCTTGTTTATGGCTGTATCTCACATGGGCTTGCCACCTTGCAGTATTGTTTATCCACAGAGGCACAGAAGAGAACTCTTCATGTGTGAATTCCGCCTTTGCTTTTCTTCTCACGTTGAGTTCCTATAATCGTGTCTTTGGCCTGTGTGTCTCCATTTTTGTATAACTCCTGAGGCTCGTCTTTTACCTAGTTTCTCCCCTACCACCCTTTATCTTTCCACAAGGCAAGGAAATTTTTTTCTCTTCGGGTTACTCTGATTTTTCAAGTTGGGGTCTGGGACAGGGGAAAGTCACAGTCCTACACAGGCTTGCATGGGTGGGTGACATGTGCTCTGGTTTTGTTTAATAACTTTACTGAACACCTGTTTAATCTCTGGGGATACAGTGAAGAAACCAAAATGGACAAGGCCTCTTCCCTTGAGGAGCTGGTATTGTAGTGGGTGAGGAGGAAAAAACAAGAAAACAAATGAGTGAAGTAGATTATTTCAGATAGTGACAAATGACAGAATGGTGTGACAGGCAAGAAAGCTTCTCTTGGGAGGTGATATTTGAGCAAAGGTCATCCAGGAAAAGGTGAAGGGAACAGAAAATTCCAGACAGAGGGAATGGCTTTCTAGGCAGAAAAATGCAAAGGCTCAAGGAAGGAGACAGGCTTTGGAGTATTGGAATCTTTGAGGATCATTCAGGTTGCTTTAGTGCTGTGTATAGAAGTGTCCAAGGGCCCAGATCCTTATAGAGCTTTGTAGACAATGTAAGGAGTTAGGATTTGATTCTAAAGTGGTAGATTCCTGTAATTAGAAAGCACAGGGTAAGTTGACATGTTTGGGGTTTGTTTTTGATGTGTGTCTGTTCCAGATGGGTTTCATTTATGGGATCTCTTCTTTTCCCTTAGGAATGGTTCTGTAATGGGGAGGACATATGTAAGGAAAAGGCATGCATCTTGGATCAGCCCGTGTCAGAGATTTATGAGATGTCTATGCAAAACAAAGCTTTAATTCCAAAATTCATCTATAACTGAGGGCCTGTAAGAAATGGCTAGTTCAGCCATTCAGTCAACAAATATTTCAGATTTAGGTAAATCTATCATAATTGATTTATTATGATTTTAAAAAATTTTTGTTGGCAAAGATCTATGGAGAAAATATTGAGCTCTCATTTAAAGGTGATAAAGTAAGCTAAGCGCAGTGACACCTGTAATCACAGCGTTCTGTGGGTTGAGGGAGGATTTTGAGTTTAAAAACAGTATAGATAATATAGGGAGACCCTATCCTCTGTCCCAAAAGAAAAAGATGTGTAATGCCTATTTAAATTTATTTTGCAGTGCTATGGATTGAACCCAGGCTTTTGTGCATACGCAAGTGCTGTACCATTGAACTACATCCCTAACCCTGTTCGTTTCTGGTAGTAGGAATTGAACCCAGGGCCCAAGCACTGAGCTACACCTCCAGCTTCTCTTTCTTTTCCTTCCTTCCTTCCCTTTTTTTTTTTTTTTTTTTTTTTGTTAATGCTTACCAGTTTATTAAAAGAGATACTACTTAGGAGCACCCAGCTGAGAGGAGCTGCACAGGGCAAAGAATAGAGGGCTCCGACACCCTCCCATACCTCCCATCCTCTTCCCCAGTACCTGTACAAGTTTACTGCTCTATATATGCCAGCCTTTTTTTAGTTTATTTTGAGACAGTTTCTCAGTAAAATGATAAGCTGCCCAGGTTGGGCTGAAACTTGTGATCCTCCTATCTCAGCCTCTCAGAGTGCTGGGATTACAGTCATGTGCCACCACTCCTGGGTTTTTGGTTTTTATTGTTCTTTTTTTTATTTTTGTCTTTTTGAGACAGGGTCTCGGTATGCTGTTCAGACTGGTCTTGAGCTCACTTTGTAGCCCAGGCTAGTCTCAAACTGGCAGCGATCCTCCTGCCTCAGCCTCCCGAGTGCTAGGATTACAGTTTTGTGCCACAAATCCTGGGGTTTTTGTTGTTATTCTTGAAGCACTTTTCCACTAATCCTGGCAGATGAGTTGGTTGTTTCTTCATCTGACAAGTGTAACTTGAGTTTCTATGTTATGTGTCTGTGTTAGGTTGAGGTTGACCTTTAAAGGGTAGCCTCCAGTCTTGATTGGGAACTTTTGTTTTAGCTGGGTGTCTGACACCTTGACTCATCCATTAGTTCTACAAATCCTCAGGGAATATCTGCTGTGTTCTAGGCAATGTTAAACGTCCTGGGTATAAGAGACAGCAAAGAAATCCAAGATAATTTCAAGTGAGGATAATTGCTGTTAAGGTAGTAAGGAGTTGGCAGTGAACTGAGAACTAAATGACACTCACTCTCAAATATTTATTTATTTATTTGTTTATTTTGCAGTACTAAAAATTGACCCAGGGCCTTTGCACTGAGCAACATCCCCAGCCCTTTTCTTTTTTTTTCTTAGTTTGTTGTTTGTTTTTTTTGAGACAATGTCTTGCTGTGTAGTTCAGGCTGACCTTGAGTTTGCAGTGGTCCTCCTGCATCTACCTCCTAAGTGATGAAATTACGGGTGTGCCTCACCACACCTGCCTCCTTTTTCATACTTTTATTTTGTGACAAGGTCTCATTAAATTGCCCAGGTTTGGCTTGAACTTGTGGTCTTCCTGCATCAGTCTCCTAGAGTGCTGGAATTGCAAGCAGGCACTGCCACACCTGCTGAAGAAGAGCATTATCACACATCATTATAGTCAGGGAGAACTGTCTCAGCTGGTTTGAGAAACAAAGGCTTTGTTGCTGGAAGACAGCAAAGTCCAGGAAGAAGGGAGGAGATAAGGTCGACAGATGCCAGACTGCGTAGATATTGCCATGTTGTGGAGTTTGGATTTTTAATGCAAGTAATCATGAGGCTTCTAAAAAATTTTGGTTGAGAAATCTGTAGGTACTTTTGGAACTTAAGAAAGTTAAAGAGATGCAGATTTACTGAGGAGTGTGTTTTAAAATGCAGCAAAGTAGATCTTATTAACCCCTCTACCCCATTCTCCTGTTTATAACATGCTGCCTTGACTGAATCCCCAAGGTAGAATAAATTTGTGTGTGGCAAAGAAAGTCCCTTTTTTTGAAGCTCAAGGTACACTGATGTAAATAATTTTGCTTGGCAACAGCAAAGTTTCATGATTTATACAGATTCAGTATTTCAACACAGAAAAAAGGGATAGGAAAATGGACTAAATCACTGCTTTTCTTGTTTTTATTTTTGAGACAGGATCTCACTGTGTAATTCAGGCTGGTGTTTGACTCACTATGTAGCCCAGGCTGCCTCAAGCTCACAGCGATCCTCCTGCCTCAGCCTCCCCATTGCTGGGATTATAGGAGTGTGCCACCATGCCTGGCTAAATGATTGCTCTTTTTTGTCATTGTTGTTGTTTTGAGACAGGGTCTCTTTCTAAGTAGTATAGACTGGCCTTGAACTCACTATGTAGACCAGGCTGGCCTCGAACTTGTGGCAGGCTTCCAGCCTCAGCCTCCGAGTGCTGGGATTACGGCCATGCACCACCGCACCTGGTTTAAATCACTGCTTTTCAAAGGTGTTCCTTAGAAAAGAGATGCTATGCACGATTAATGGGGGAAACTGGATTAAACAGTGTAAACTGATAACACTTGAGTGAGTTCTTGAAGCCCTTAAAGTACTTTGAATTGTGAATCTCCAAAGAAGTGCAGAATATAATGCATAGTATTTTTCATGCTTTTGATAGAAAAAACCAGCAAAGGTAACTTCTCAGGAATTTGTATCCGTGGTTGAGTGGGACTTGATGCTTACACCTATAGAGTAGATACGCGCTTGGTCAAGGGCGATGAACAGATGGGTGGTGGATTCTGTAATCACTTCCTTTGGGATTAAAAGAACATTTTTTAATGGGAAGGACTAGAGTAAGTAG